TATTTTAAGCTGATGAAAGATCTGAAAGTTTACCTATGCACAAAAGCAATTATTTGGTGTCACATCTCAGTGGGTTGCTAACAGTGGGTTAGACAATGCTGTGGTGGGTAAAGCAAACAAAAAATGATAGTAAAACCTTCAGAAAGCCTTACTCCTGTTTAGAACACCGCAAACCCCACCATACAGCTCAGCCAAGGACAGCTGCCCAAAGCTGCCTTCTGCCTCAGTGCATTTACAGCGTGCTGATAACCATCAGATCGATAAATATCACACAGGGTGACAGCTGAGGGTCAGTAAAGTTGTTTACATTTTCTTCTGGCAGTTTATAAATCACATCCAGTAATGACTGGCATCTCAGGTACATTTATGCTCAAAATGTAAAACTCTTTCTAAATTTAGAAGGTGGTTATTATTATGAGGACGCTGTAAGAATTGTCATTACAGGAAAGGAACTGAGATTAGAAGTCAAAATACCAGGAAGATAATTACCCACTGCATAATACTCTGTGCTTTTAACTATCGGAAAGTATTCCTCATGTAATGGCACTCTGATGGTTTTAGATCATTTGTATCACTGAGTGTTCCAAGGATGCCCAACAGAACTACGCTTGCTGTATTATTTCATTCCTGGATTGTTCCCATCACAGAAGAAATTCAAGGATGCATCTTAATTTTTCTTTTTCTCTCTTGCCTGATAAACGACAGCAGTATTTCACCAATCATTCTCACACTGAAGCTGATAGAGGAAACTCTTGGAATGGGATGCAAGAGTGGGGAGAATGGGATGGAAGCTGTTTGGAACCATTGATCAGCGAGATCGCATCATAGTCAGGCTGAGTCCCACTGTGCTGAACACTCTGGATTTAGACTTTGTAACAAAATTGGAAGCTATTTTCTTAGGTTTTCACCAACAAGATACCACTGAAGTCAATGACCCATATATTGGTGAATAATATCAGATTGACAGATATTGAAACCAAGCTCCAGTGCTCACGGCTGAAGAAATACAGTACAAGCAGTGCCTTCCGCATCATCCCTCCCCATTTCCTGATACTTGGTAGCTCAGAAATTAATGTCTGAAGAAATGGGGAGAAAATGTTCTCTCTGTTTAAGGAGGGATTCAGAGGTTGTACATGGAAATGATTCATTCCAGACAGAACAGAACCGGAAAGGGCCCTGGATTTGCTGGTAATTTACTCTAAATGTGGATGACTGTCTCTGACAGCAGAGCTCATCTGGGTGTACATTCACTCCTTCCCACTAAATACTTGTCTTCCTGAAAATGGATTGAAGAAGTCACACTGCCTGTGAAATTACTATCGGATACAAACTTCATTGACCTCAGCTGTGAGACTCTTTGTCTCCTCAACTTGCCATTACTTGGCAAGCTATTGACAATTTCTATTTGAAGAGAAGGTACCGAAGGTTCAGTTCAGAAACAAAGCACACTCCCATCCCTGCCAGACTGCTGTTCCTATAGCAGGTGCTCCTTTCCCAACACAAAGGTGATGCTCAAAACGAGAGGATGAGGAGTTAAGGTCATGAAAGTATTGCATTGCTCTTCAGTCAGATAGACACTGTTCTCTGTGAAAGCAACAGCAAAACACAATGGAAGAAAACTATATTTCAGATAACTCTGGTTACAGCTGCAGATTCTGGCTTCATTGCTAGAGCTGCTGATGGAGGAGAAAAACTCATTTATGTCAACAGCAGGCAAACTGCAAGAAAGGTTATTGAGAGACGCAGAACTGGAGGAATAGATGTAGATGGAGCTGGGCACTGCTAAGGATGGACAAGCGGCTGGCAATCACGCTCATCTGGAATAGAGCTCTTAATCTGAGATACACCTTTTTAAGAAAGGAAGCCACAGCAGTCTACCAAAACTGAAGACTGGCTCCACATGCCAGGACAGACAAGCTGCTCTGTATCTCTCTATTGTTAATACCCCAAGAACATAAACACCAGTTTGCTCCATGGATAGGCAGCAAGATACGTCAGCCAGAGATAAAGAGATGGCAAAGCTGCTGGGAGTGACCAGTAAAGCAAGGGTCAAAAACGCATTTGAGACAGAAATAAAAAATTAAGTCAATTAAATAGCTCTATGCAGCAGTGATACAAATAAAACAGAAGAGGTTGGCTGATGGAGCTGTACTCTTCTCTGTATCAATCCTGAATTCCTACTGCTCCAGCTACGAAGCAGTTTGACATATTTGAGTAAATAACAATCAACTCTGCACGACCAGTGCACGCTGAAATAATGAAAATGTGCTGCACGGGATAATTACAATGTTAGCAAGTCAATTTATTTAATAGGAGTTAAGATTTTGGCTGCGTTCTCCGTATTTTGGGATGGTGCAGAGCAAATGATTCTGAAAGAGATTTTTCTGAGTGGGTGACACTACACAGCACATGGTAATGACTTTAAGTCAGCAGTCACACTGCATTAAAACAGAAAATTTGCATTAAAAAGTACAGCTGAATGATGCACTCTTGAGTGCTTTATTCGCACAATTTTGCAGCACAGAGTTCAGGAGGAGCAATCCTGCTCTGTGAAGCAGGGTACTTCAAACAGTGCTCCGGATTACCCCACTTGCTTTTCTCTTTACACAGAGCTCTAACGTAACACCTTGGAGTTGTTTACTCTTTGTAATAACAATGCCATTCTTTTCCTTTCTAGACGGATATTCAATTCAAATCTGAAAGCCACTGGAATCTGAGCTAAGAATGCAGTGTGTTTCCCCCTGCCTGGTTTGCACCCATGAAACCAATGAAAGCACACAGAAATTCATGAAATAAACATTGGAGTTCTCCCATCATAGACTGTGTATTTAATGCTTACTGCCCACCGTTCCATTTTCCTGGATTTCCTTCGGTCCAAAGAACATTATTTTGTGTGTGTTTCAAAATAATATTTTGCACCTCCTAACAATCAACTAAGGAACATCTCACACTCTATAAAAAGAACCTGGCCCCAGCAAAATCCCACAGTACTATCAGCTCTGTAGGAAGAGCTGTCAGAAAGAAAAGAGCTTCTGTCTGCCATATTCCATCAAGAAGGAAGTAAGTTGGGGAAAATACAATCTTTCAACAGAAAGGAAAGCTAAGCAGAATTTCTCACTGCTGGGAAGTTGGTGAGAAATAGGTATTGTGCCCTGATAGAGAGAGGGCAGGAAAATGTGCTCCCAGGTAGGAAGGCTCACACAGTGTGAAGCACCAGCCTGAGCACATAGTTCATATAGTATATATAATTAATATAGGTTCACATATTTAATTCGGGTCCAGTTCTGGATAAACAGTGCACAAAGTACCAGCAGTAAGCAGGATTTTAAGCCCTTGCTCCTTTCTGGAGTTGCTTTCCTGTACAAAATGAAAGAACAGATTCAACTGGACCTCAGATCCCATGTTGTCAGCCCATACCTGATGGATCTGAGAGCCCTGGGACTGCCCAAGGTTGGGATCTATGCAGCCAACTGAGCTTTCTTGCACCAACCAACCCCTTGTGCAAATCAAGACAAGTATAGAGTTTCTTTCAGCTCAATCCCAGATTCAGCTAAACACCTGATGTCTCACTCAGATGCTGCCCTTGAGAGCTCAACACTTGGTGGATAGCAATTAGTTCCTAATGTTTGCTGATACTCTGCTTCACCTACACAGGAAACCTAAACATTTTATATAAGTATCTGACACTAAGCTGTCACAATCTGCTTTAGATGCTGAACTCTGTATTAAATATAATGCACAGTACTATGCTGGTGTAGGTGGACAACATAATCAGACATCTTCAAAGGCACCTAAATCTGTGAGCAACCTACGTACTGTGCCTGTATAAAGGGATGTATTATGGTTGATCGTGACAAGAACTCCTCTTCTAAAAGCACTTGCAAAAACATAATTGGAATCTTTAACCCCCACATCCCTTCTATATCAGTGACTCCTTCTTCCACCTGGCCATAGCATGGGTCTGCTTTCCACAGCATCTGCACAGCATTGCTATGGGATTAGGAGAATGGGAATTAGAGGAATTTTTTTTTTCTCTAAATGAAACAAGCTTAATTTGCGTGTGTGTGTAGCTAAAGATAAAGGGCCATAAGACTGCTTTACTGATTTGAGCAGACGATGTTTTCCACTCCAACGTCTCAGCTGAAGAACAGTCTGGAGGAAAAAACACTCCTAAAACAAGCTACTGATCTTCATCTTCAAGACATAAAACTCAGCCCGTGACATCCTTCCCTGTTTCATTATTTAGAAATAAGCCTTCTTAATGTCTGAAGATTTAATCCAATAGATCCCATTCCATTCCTTAGTTTACAGTATAGTTAATCAGAGGTTTGTCACAGAGCAGTTTCAGATCTGACTGTTGATTTATTTAAAGATAAATCATAATAACAAGTGTGAGACAGCAGCATGAAAAGTGATTTTTCTCTCAACAGACTGGAATCATCAGTTGTACCATTCAAAGCCTCTAAATACGACGACTACCGCAACATAGTAGCAGGCTTCTGCACTGCAGCTGTCTGTAAGCCTGCTCAAACAGCAGCGTAAATCATGGCTTTGTTGTCAACTGGACAGTTTCAAGGGACAAACATGAACTTCCATGTAAGTGCCAGCAGGGTTATGGATATTGCCTTTTGGAAAGTCACTGCGTTTCAGTGAAGGAAACACCATCAGAGCACAGACAGGCATGGGCTGTCTCTAAGGCTTTTTTAAACAAATCCTATCTATAACTTGAGATATTTCTTTATCTGCCATCAGGAGACTGTAGAGCTTTATGTTAAATCAATATATTCTGTGCTTACCTGTACGATTCAGAAAACTATGTCAAGTTTTCATTTTATTTCCTTTCCAGAACATTTTGAAAAATATGAGTAAAGATTTGCCAGGCACTTTCTGAATCCTTCTGCATGCTAGATACAGTAACTGTAATACAATACTTAGTTGCCAGGTACCTCCCAGAAAAAGACACAATTTCTGCTGGGATCTTTAAAGAAACCCTCTTACTCTTCTTTCCTCCTCCCTCCCTGCTTCACTAGCTGAAAAGCCAATAAAAAACCTCTCCACCTCCTACACAGTTCAGAAGAAGATCTGCGTGCATTTATCCTAGGCACGTTTGGAGACCCAGAAGGGGATGAAGGTAGTTAACGTGCAATGGGAATCTTCACTTCAGGCACTAACCTCTACCTTTGTGCTGACTTTGCTGATATGCTGCAAGCTAAATATTAGACAATTTTTTGTTCAAATTAAGTCCAGCCTGAGAAGAAGAGATGGTTGAAGAAATGTCTCAAGCATACTTGCATCTACCTAATCAGACGTTGTGTGCAGATACAAATGGTACAGAACTGAAATCAATCGTAGAGAATGAAACAACAAATGAAAAATGGACCGAAGATTCCTTTCCAGGATTAGAAATACTGTGCACAATTTATGTTACATACGCTGTGATCATTTCAGTGGGTCTCCTTGGAAATGCTATACTCATCAAAGTCTTTTTCAAGATTAAATCAATGCAGACGGTTCCAAATATCTTCATCACCAGCTTGGCATTTGGAGACCTGCTGCTTTTATTAACTTGCGTGCCTGTAGATGCAACGCGGTACATTGTGGATACCTGGATCTTCGGGAGAATCGGGTGCAAGCTGCTGTCTTTCATCCAGTTAACATCAGTTGGAGTGTCAGTGTTCACACTGACTGTTCTCAGTGCTGACAGGTGGGTCTGATGCATCTGATTTGCCTCAGTGTGAAGTTAGGAATGAATAAAAGAGCAGAAATGATTGTTTAGCTCAGTATTAAGTGGCATATTGTGACTCTCCCATTTAACTTAAAAATGTGTTAGAAAAATTGGAGCAGTTCTTTTTAATGGAGTGAAGTGAGAAAAAGTCCATAAGTCTTCTGACCTTTTATTAGCTTGAAGTACAGTATGATTTTTTTTTCTCTGTTGCACGGAAGAAGTGAATTGTTTTAGGCAGGGAAAAGACAGTATATTGGTGCTATCTAGTGGTGCTCTAAAGTAGTCAATGAAGATGACAAACTGAACTGAACAAACGGAGTGGAAATCCTTTGTCTTACTGTCTGCACTCAGTGAGGCCCTAAACTCTTACAGCTGAAAGGTCTGATGTGTGGCACAGAAAGCCAAAAGGAAACTCACTGCAGACTGTGAGACAAACTACTTTCCTGACTCTCCTGACTTCATGGCTACAGCAATGCTACAGTAATTTTCAGCATGGTGAGTGCTTAGTGTGAGATAACACGCCACAACTCAAGTGTTTTCTCTGCTTTGTGCTCACAGCTTTTATATTTCTTCCTTTATGTACTTCAGCACAGATGTTCTGAAGTTAAATTCAGGTTACAAATGAAGCACTGTTGATAGGGATCGGTGCTCCCATCTGACTTGTGTCAGGACATGCTGAATAATCTGTTTAAAGTGCACCTCCTTTCTGAACGAACAATCATATGATGAGATTTCAGTCCAATGAGCACGAGCTGATTATTTTATCACTTAATATTAAGTATTCAGTATTTCAGTATTAGCAAAGAAAAGATTCTCATTTTGTGTGCCAGCAGTAGAGGATTGTATGTAACAGCAAGTAGCTCACGTGTGCAGACATTAAATCCCAAGCAATGCTACTGCTAGTGTGCTCTGACAACAACATCAGCCAACGTAACACTGGCTGTATTGGGACAGACTAAGGGTCATGTGGGCCAGTACTCAGAGTCCAGCAGTGGAATACAAGGACAAGAAAAGACAGGGAGAACGAGAACACGGTGATGATACAGCACCGCACCAATTCCCTAGGCCTCCAGATGACCTCCAGAGCACATGTAGTTTGTCTGCTTTGTAACCTCAATGGACGTCTCTTCTTTGCCCTTGCTTAGTGTCTTCCTGAATTTGTTTAGCAATGCTTTGCATTGACTCTTCCTTTCATTCTCTCTTTTTGTTTTTGTTTTGTTTTGTTTTTAATGTGGCTTCACTTGATAGCCCCGACTCTTGTTCTGAAAGACTCAACAACTCATATCAGTCCTCTCCAGGCCATCCATTTTATGTTCCATCCTTAGTATGTTTTTCTGAGATAAGGTGTGCAGAACAGCAAATGGTATCCATGAGTTGCCTGAACCAGAGATACAGGGAACTGCACAATATCTCTTTTTTTCTTGCCATTGCTTTCCTAACAATTCTTAACATTTAGATGAATATCAAGCTGATGTTTTCACTGAACTATCTATCACAGTTCCAAGGTCTTAGTCCCGCACGAAGTCAGCTTGGCATCCATCACCAGAGCCCTCACTTCCATATTTGATTCTTCATAGTAGCTGTTGTGAAAGTACTCCACAAATGTTTCCACAGGATAACTATATGGAAAACTTACTTAGTTCAGAACATGAATCCTGTACATGATCAGGTTCCACTAGGCTAAAAGACCTTAAGATCAATAAAAATTATGTTTATATGATAAATGAGAGTCCAGCATGCAGTTTTCTATTTAAACTTGCCTAGAGGAGAAAGAGAAAATCAGCTTCAGCTTGTGCAAAATGGTACAACTATGCTGTCTTGCTCTCTGGATCTTTTTCATATCTCCTTTCATACCATGTGCTGGCCCCCTGTAAGGCCCCCTCTGTCTTCTGTCTTCTCTTTCTGTCTTCTGTCTTCCTTTCCACACTGATTTTCACACATCCGTAGATTCACCCAAAGTTCCTCAAATGTGTGACTCAGTCCACATGTGGCTGAATCACAGGCCGTGTATCACCAGCAGTATTTGCTCATGTTTTATAAATGTGAATGAACACCTGAGCATTGCTTTGAGTAAGATCACTACACTCACTGGGGTCTTTCTTATGAACACTGAGGAGAACAACAGCACACGTGCTTGGTTTCAAGTATTTATAAACCGGTTCTCAAACCAGTTCCCTCATTGAACTTTCGGTGCAGTGCCACGAAAATAGGAGAGATGATCGTGAAAATAGGAGAGAGGATTCCTTTTACTGATTCTAATCTGAACAGTAGAAGGCACCTTTACTTAGGAAGGCTTTGATGACGAGTTCTGCCAGCCAACTCATTAAAACAACACATTCGAAATCAACCTTTGCATTTCCATCTGAATCATCATGTTCCATTTCCAAGACGATTCTTACAACTTCAGCCAAAACAGAGATGCTGTTATCTGCAGTGAGTGTGCATGATCGGAGCTGGCACTACTACTGTACTCTGACAACGGCCTTGGTTGCTTCTAGGTACAGAGCCATTGTTAAGCCCCTGGAGCTGCAGACCTCGGACGCGCTCCTGAAGACCTGCTGTAAAGCTGGCTGTGTGTGGATTGTCTCCATGGTATTTGCTATCCCCGAGGCTGTGTTTTCAGATTTGTACTCTTTCAGCAATCCGGAGAAAAATGTAACTTTTGAGGCATGTGCTCCCTATCCCGTATCTGAGAAGATACTGCAGGAAGTGCATTCCTTGATTTGCTTCCTTGTGTTCTACATTGTGCCACTGGCTGTTATTTCTGTCTATTATTTTCTTATCGCCAGGACTTTGTACAAAAGTACATTCAACATGCCAGCAGAAGAACACAGTCATGCCCGTAAGCAGGTAAGTTATGATCAAGCACTAAAGTGTCAGTTTTTCCGGAATCTAACACGCTGATTGAACTCTTCATTCCTAAGTGCAAAGCCTTTTCCTGATAGCATGCACAAACAGATGAGTAAAATTCTCCATAAACCCATATTAGCAATTCAAATTCAGCTGTGTGCTTACGCACACGCTTATGACTCATAAACTCAATTGTGAGTGTACATGGCTTCCTAATGAGAAATAGAGTTTGCTTTGCTTTATTATGATCCTATAAAACTCAGAAGTTAATGATGTTGAATTCTAAGCTGTAAGACCTCATCCTTGTTACCTGACACGTCAAGCATTGTGCTTTCAAACCCTACATTAGATAAGATTCCCATGTGCTTTATAACGGAAAGGGAATGTGCTCCACACTGGAAAGACTTCCTTTAAAAACAATAAAATATATTTATTTTCTGTTTTTCTTCTTCTTTTTCTTCCTTTTTTTTTCTTTTTTTCTTTTTTTCCTCTGCTGTTCTGCTTTTTTTTTTTGGTCACTAATGCATTTAAACTCTTCTGAAAATCAGCACCAACTAAGTAACTGCAATTAATTGCCATTAATACCAGATATGCATTATTTTCTTGTAGATTGAATCCCGCAAGAGAGTTGCAAAAACAGTGCTGGTGCTTGTTGCTTTGTTTGCCTTTTGCTGGTTGCCCAACCACATCCTCTACCTATACCGCTCTTTCACATACCATGCTTCTGTAGATGCTTCTACCTTTCATCTGATAGTTACTATTTTTTCCCGTGCCTTGGCCTTCAGCAATTCCTGTGTCAATCCTTTTGCTCTTTATTGGCTGAGTAAAAGTTTCCGCCAACATTTTAAGAAGCAAGTCTCGTGCTGCAAGGCCAAGCTTCGCACAAAGCCTCCCAGCGCTCCCCACAGCAATTCACCCCCCAGAGCTCTGTCAGTCACAGGCAGCACACACGGCTCAGAAATCAGCATTACGCTGCTGACAGATTACAGCATCACAAAAGAAGAGGAAAGTGTGTAGTTCGTTTGTGAGGAAGGACAGAAAACGAGCGTTTGCAGTCAAGTCACTACTGCCTGCGTCATGGAAGGAGGTGCCACGTCTTGCTCTGCCTCTGAAAGGATTTTCATCAGGAGTTCCTAACATTTGTAAAACACACAACAAAGAAAGCAAAGCGTGTGCGAGAAGAAGCTAAAGCAGCTGAAATTTTCGGTGTAAGCTCAGAGGAATTGCTCACATGCCCAAGCATGAACACACACCCTTGGCTGAGGTTCGTGTGCTGGACAGGAGACTGCAACGTTGCTGTGAGAATTGGCCATGGGGATTGCTTTGTTCTCAGTGATTTGTTCTTTCTCTTGTGACTGGAAGCTCCCTTCTGTCAAGTACCTGCATCTAAAGCATGCATATTGATCAAACCATCAACCTGGCAGGTGTTTGGTTTATTTCCTTTCTTGTCCCAAATACTGAAAATTGATACATGCACTGGGAAATAAGCTAAGATGAGAGAAAGGTAAAGCTTGTAGCATGGTGTGATAAAAAAGAAAAGCATTATTGCCAGATCCACATTGCCCTTTGCTCCACCAGTGACTTTGAAATTCTGACTGCAGAGCTGACTGCAGTGACAGGGATGCTCTCTCTACATCAAACGAACCAGCAGGTCATTGTTCTGGTCAGCGATAATCATCTTTATCAAATTTGTAAAATTTCTTTTGATCTATGGGTCAACGCATCAACAAGAGCTTTGTTCTTCACTGCTACAGTGATTTTACATCAAGAGTTGCAGTTTGGATTCGCAGTGCACTTCCAAAGCTAACTGCTCAGTCATCCCCACCTGCCTTACTTTGCTCTGTCTCCCAGAGCAGCCTTGAGTGCACAACCTGTATTTCTTCTGGAGGAAACCGTTCAGACATGGGACCAGACTGGATCTGACAGCCCCCAAAAGCACAGTGCATGAGTGCCAGGATAACCATTTCTCTCCACAGACCCTCCTCTACTGCAGTGTATTGCTTGGTCAAGTGGCCATTTCTAAACCACCCGCACATTTCTAAGCATGCAGGGAGGGCTGGATTTTTCCATTGTACTAGCTTTTATGAGATTAGCTTTCTCATCTCACATCCACTTGCTCTGATAACACAAGTCAGTGATAGCCTATCACGGGCAGCCTCTATATCCCCAAAAAGCTCAGCAGCTTGTCAGGAAATAACAGGAAGCAAATCTTCCAACCCCACCTTATAAAAGTGTTGAATGACACTTGTTTTTATTAAGCTGTGTACCCTGAACCAAAATTTTGTTCTGTGGGAGTTGATGGTTAAAAAAACCACAACGGATTTTCCACTGCATAAAGTAAGGGATTCCATCTCAAAAAAAGAATACATGCGTTACATTATTGAAGGGAGGCCGCAATGTATGAATCACACAGAACGGTGCTCTTGGTCATAGAAGTTTGAACTGGATGTCTCATTTGACAGGCTACCTCACCCCTCAAGACATAGTGCTCCTCCAGCTGCACACAGCCCTTCACCAGGATGGAAATCCATCCATCCACGCACTGTTATTTGAGTTCTTTGTATGAAGCAGAAAATCTCTTTGCAGTCTCTCTCTTCTGACTGCCCTCATCAGAATAATAAAACCACGCTAGAAATCCCAAGGTGTTGGAATACAACCTCTATAGTCCTCTTAAACCAGTTTAATGATAGCCCATTTTAATGCCATCAAGCCTGGCCTTGTTTTACTTCTCTCTTCACATTACTCGCTGCAAGGCGATAAGCACTAATTATTGAAATGCTGTCTCCATTTTATTGTATCAACTGTACGCCACAATAGGACCACTGCAGTAAATGGAAACATAACAACACAGAAATGCAATTTATGGGAAAGTGGACTCCAGAGATGTTAATTTTGTTCTTTGTCTGAACAGAACACATTCCTTGGTACTGAGGTACATACGAGTATGTACATACTGCGTTGATATTCTCCCATTCTATTTAGTGGAACTGCACAGTGAGATACAGATGGGTAAATAAGCCTACACATTTAAGACCCTAATTTTCTCTTCCTAGATCTTCCTACAGAGAATTCTAAATAAAAGAAAGATCAACAAACACTGCACTTCCTTACACCACTCTTGATTCTAGCTTATTAAAGCCTTTAGCAAATAATCCACCACATGTTTCTGGACCCCACAGTTTGTCTCTGTCTGAGAGCATATTTCCCACTGCAAAATCCTTGCTATACAGTAGGCCTTAAAAATCACTGTTTCCTAATTCACCACTTTATTTGCTCTGCATGCAAATTTGCTCTTTTTGCTTGTGTAATGACTCCTCCAGCTGGATGGTCTATCTATTGCTCACACACTGTACTAGCAAATTGATGTTTTTACTACATGCTGCACATCTTTCAAGCCATAATTTAAGTACTCCATGTACCTTATGCGTTAATTCCATACTTTCAAATCTTCATGAGATGTTGAATTACAGTGATATATTGGACAATATTTTTATCTGAACGATCTGATATTTCTCATTGCATCTATTTATCCAATATAAATATCCATAAAACATCTTTGTGTTGCCATAACTGGGTTTAGGGGAAAGGGTTGCTTCTTTCAGTGTATTTTCTCAGTGCTGAAAAACAGCTCTCTCAGCCCTAAGTAGTACAGGTGTAATTCTACAAAAGAATATGGGAAGGACGTCTATTTACAGAAATATTCAATGTCACTTAGCAAAAAACTGGCATGAAGAACTAGAATTTTACTATTTATACTCAGAATGAAATAATATGTAGCAGAAAGGTACAAAATACAGAAAGGCAAGACTGAAAAGACTTGTTCATACGGAGTTTTACTGGGTAAGTAAATACTATTTTTAGGGTTTGCCTTTTTACAGTTTGCTTTATATGTACACATTGCCAGATTTCAGATTCAGACGTAACAGATAATGTTTTTGTTAGCAACAGGTCAAGTATGAGTGCTCCAATTTGTGCTTTCAATGTAAGATATTGGATTGGCTTCAGAAGGATATTTTCCACAAAAAACAAAAGAATGTCAAAGCATGGATACTGTAAAACAGAGTGCATCTCCAGCAGACCGCACTGACTGTTAAAGTCACTTTGTGCAACACTTTATAGCTCGCCCTCTTGTTTCCATAGAAAGCATCATTTTGTTTTACAGTTAAATACGGGCTGCCTACTGATGGTCATGTGTTTCTGCTAAGAATACTGCAATTAAATAAGAGGCTAAATTTACTCACAGCTACAGGACTTGCACATTTCAATCAAGGATACTTAGAATTAAAAAAAAAAAAGTACAGGCTCTAATTGGTATTTAGTTATGGCTTCTGCCAAGGCTGGTCCCCTCAGTGAAAGGTGAACAATTCTGAGGAATTTCCACCGTCAACACAGGAGGCAGTATTTAATTTCTAGCACACCTACATCCAGCTGTGTTTGTCACAGTCACTCTCGCTAGCCTGTGTGTCAGAGCTGCAGGCCCCAGCCCCACAGAAAGCACACAGGAGTAACCTCTCTGTAATGAATCCGTATTTAACGCCTCCCTGACACGACATAGCAAAGCATCTTAAGAAATGAAGTGTTACATGTTTACCTGTCAGCTAGTGAACTGCTGGTTCTGCTTTAACAAATATCAGAATGCTTTATTAAGCCAAGGTTTTGGTACTTTTAGTAGGTGGTATCTCTGGAACAACATTCAGTTCTGATGAATCAAGATTTCCTTTTATCACTTAGAAAAGTCAAACACAGATACAAGATCATAACTAGATTACATGCTAATGCCTCCTTTTACTGTTTGCTTTGAGATATTTTGTCATTTAAAATGTCATTTCCTGACATTCTGTCCCCAGAAGCTGCAGCTCATCCTTCTCCTGCTGCAGCAGCCGTGCTTGTGCAGCCACAAATTCAGTTATTCCAAGAGTGTGATTGAGGCTGTCTCGATTTAAAAAAAAAAAAGAAAGAAAGAAAAATTACTGTTTTTCAGCTGAATTAGCTCCCTGAGCTGGCTTACTGTATGGGTGTTACTTAAAATGAAGAGAACAGATGGCAGTGACAAGGTAAGAAGCTACTGGATGTCAGCTGTTCTGCAGTAGCTGCCTGCATGCATGTTGTTCTCCGTGGGAAGTGCAAAGGATTCTGAGGTAGTTTGTCCTCATATCTGCAGCAGAAGTACACAGGCCAGACTTACCATGCAGGAACTGATGTTCGGTAGCTGGATAACCCTGCTGCAAGCAACCATGCTCTTAATTCTAGCAGTTTGTGGGGATTAAATTTGGATGTCCCACTCCCCAGAATAGTGCTTGGATGACTTGTTTTAGGCACAGCTACAGTGAAAGTGCTCTCCAACCTCCTGCCACAGCCATGCCAATCTGTAAGATACCACTTGCACACTAAAAGAAGGAATCTGAATTTTTGAGTTTACTGTTAAGCACTCAAGCAGGAAAAAAAAAAAGGAGCTTATATACTGGCACTCTGGCTTTTTGGTCCAAGGACATCAGATCAAGCATTTGTTAAAGTGAAATGTAAAACACTTGGGAAATCTGTAACGTATGGACACAGAGTTCACTACATTTACCTAGGCTGTAAACGTGAAAAACTCTGCGAATATCAGATTAGTGGTCTAAGACAATCTGTAGAGCTCTTAGGGCATTTAAGACTGTGATTATCATGCTACCAAATATATTCCAATTTAAACCTTGCAAATAAATACTTAGGCCCATTAAAACCTTTCTCTTCATGTTACCGCCTAAGAGTAGAAAAGGAGCGAGTGGGCATCAAACCTCAGCAGCTGACTCACTGATTATTTTTTCCCCCAAACATCAATACAGGCTGCTCTGATCTTACTGGTGTCAGGAACATACAAAGGACAGTAATCTGACCTACGTTTAGATCAATTTCATTTTTCAAGTAAGCACAGCTGCCAACAAGTACCCCACTAAAAATGAGTTATTTCAGAGCCGATAGAAATGTCTCTTGAGCTGTCAGATCGTAAGCAATAATACAACAACTTTCGGATGATTATCGGAATAGCCCTGCCAAGAGAAAATTCTTGAAGCATGAAAGAAGCCATTAACTAGGCTGGGTGTTCTTTGTGTAACAGCCAAAGGTTACTAAAAGTCTCTATTTATATCCAAAGCAATTTTATCTGGCTGTCTGTTGACCAGCCAGTTAGCTACGTCGGTCACTCCCTACTGAGATTCAGACACTCAGAATTGCATCTTTGATTTTATTATCATTCCAGTCTGTCTGACAGCACGGATATATTTATCCATGGAATACTCATTTCCAGAACATTTCTGCACAAAGCGTCGTTTTTCTGAGTAAAAAGACTGCTTTGCCACTGTGTCACCCGGCAGCCTGCCCTGCAGCTTCCACAGAGCAGTGGCACTGCCACCAAACCCACCTGCACTGCCCCAGCGCCTGCACTTCACAGCTCCAGGTTAAGCTCTGCTTAATGAAGCGTAAGCAGCAGGCTTCTTCACCCTCCAAATAAACACCTCTAAACATACCCCTTAGCAAGTAAATTTGCTATTGGTGTAGATGTATCCAGACTGCAGTGAAAACCTGTAGATGGCACCAAGGGAAGCCCCGTTATGAGAATCGATTCAAGTCGGCCGCGGTGCGCAGCTGCGCGGGGAAGAGCACCAAGGCACGGGGTGCCACGGCGCTTCACCCACGGCAGACTTTATTTCATCCCGTGAATAAAACGGCCGCAGCTCCCACGCCAGGTCTGCTCAGGCACCGCTGCTCCCCACAGCGGCTCTAGGGAACGACACCGTCCCGCCCAAGCCCCGCCTGAGACGCCATCACTGCTGCACTCCCCCCGCGCCCACAACCAAACCCCGCCTCTTCTGCGCGCGCCCGCCGCTCCGACAAGGGTAGCACCACGCTGCCTCCCCATTAGCTCCGCGGATCAACTCGTGACCTGCCATCCCGCGTCTCATTGGCTGAGATGAAGGAAGGAGTTCCTCGCGCGGGCTGGGGGTTACTTCCGCTCCTGCGCGTTGCAAGGCCCGGGGTCGGTCACCGGCGGCGCGGGGCTGAGCGAGCGGTGCGTGCCCGCCTCTGTCGCCCGCGCGTGCACGCGGTCCCCGCGCGCTCCCGGCCCCGCCGCTCTGAGGGGCGGGGCGAGCAGCGCCTCAGTCGGCAGCGCGGGCGAGTAGGCCCGGGTACGTAGGCCCGGAGCGGCCGTTCTGCCTTCTCTCTCAGCGCCGAGGCCCGCCGATCGGGCCAGGATGAGCGGCGAGGACGGCAACGAGGAGTTCTACCGCCAGCTGCAGCTCCAGCAGCAGTACGAGGCCGAGCGCGGTGGCGAGGGCGAGGCCGACCCCTTCACCTACGTGGACCCTGCCGACGGGGCCGCCTACGAGTGGGACCGGGAGAAGAAGGCCTGGTTCCCCAAGGTGCGTCCCCCCGCCGTGGCCGTGCGGGGCGGCGGCTCTGAATGGAGCGGCCTTTGATGCTTCTGATTTCAATTCTTGTCGTGGTATCTGCGGCAATCCTTATCTTGCTGGTCGAAGTGGAGCAGTGGAATGGCCGTTATAAAGGCTCAGATGAAAAATAACGAAATGCATTCGATTTCTCTTTTATTGTTATCTGAAAACTATGCAAATGTAAAAATATCTTCCCTTTCCTGAGATCTTGCACTTGAAAATTAAGCATATTTGACCACAGAGATTTTGTACAGAGCAGAAACATCACAGTTTCCTTTTTTTTTTTTTTTTTTTTTTTTAATATTTTTTCGAATATTCAGAATATTTGATGAATTTAGAGATTATATCAGTTTAATGTGGTCAGCCAGTCTGCTGATCTGCAGGTAGAATGCTGTTGTTCCTCTGTAACAGCGAGAGGTAACTACTTCACTTACAAGTGTGGAACTGCTTTATAATGTGTATTTTGTAAACCTGCTGTGCCAGTTTGTGTTTGTGGCCATGAGTTTGTGAATCTGAGTGAGAATGAAATCAATTATGATGCTTGTGTGTGTATAAACCTAGCAGTGTGTCTGTGCTGCACATGGCTTGCAGAGGGCTAAAACCATGTGAAAAAATCTGGGCTGCCAAAGTGGAGCAGCAAACAAGTGGGTATCCCTGGCTCCCTGGGGAGGGATGCATTCAGTCAGCACAGTGCATTCTGAAAGGGTTCTCTTCCCCTCGCTCCTGTTTCTTTCCATCTTTCTCACGTATTTTATCTGTCTTTTTCTCTCAGGAGTGTTAATCTTTCCTAAAATGCCTTTCTTATCTCATGTTATAGATTGGGGGGTTGATTGTGTTTTGAGAAGCTTGATCCAGCTGATGGCTGTGAATATTTAACTTGAGCTTCTGCTAACCTGAATTAAGGGCTATACTGGTTTCTAATGTGAGGCATATCTGAGCTTACGAGTTCCTTCTCTCAAGTTTCTCTCAAATTTCAGGAGAAATGATGTAAGAACAGAAAAATTCATTAATAAATATGGTTCACAGTAGAAGTTAATAAATAATCCTAGTGCAGCTCTGTGTTATAGGTAGGTCAGTGAGCTAGATGTTATCATGTCTCAGGTTACTTTGTTTGGTTAAAGATCTGTAGGCTGGTATGGTGAGTGCTTCTCCACTTTGGGAACTTCACTACTACGTGTTTCAAAGCAGTGCCTGGAGTCAATATTAGCTGAAAGAGTTC